TTCTGATAATCTTATTCCTCATTTCCCTCTCACCCTCAACAGAAGATGCTGAAATGCTTCAATCTTGCCCCTTTTGCCAGACTTCAAAAAAATAACACATGCCCCATTTTTCCTTTTTTTTTTCCTGTTTAAGCACAAGTTTATTTCGTATTTCACCTGGCTAGGCATTCTTCAGCAGCTTGCTCGTCCCACTGCCTGTTTACCTTTGGACCTGCTGACGCAGACTGGAATTAACCTGGGAGGCACAGTCGTGGCTCCATCATTTATGGAGGATGGCTTTTATGTAATCTTCTCTTTCGTATCTGGGGCACCTTCACGCTAAGGTAACAGGCGATACACCCAGGCTGAAGGGAGGCAGCTGGGCGTGCACTGGATTTGAATAAGGTAACTAAGGCTTATGTGAGTTGTTAAATGAACGGGTGTCTGAAAATTGCAAGGGTGTGATTGCTACTAAATGACAGTACACTTGGGGCAGCTGGTTTCGTCACTGGAAACCAGCCAGTTGGAATGGGTAAGCTGCCTGCCCAGGCACAAGCAGTGGTCAGTGGACTAAAGCCCCACAACCCAGAAGGGGCAATACAGAACCGGTATGAGCCCCTGCACAGGCACAACTTTACACTGTATTACACTGCTATCGTAGAATACATTCCTGGCATTTTCGCTGCCGCTGAAGTATAAACCAACAACAAGGAGCTGCTGTGCCTATGATTCTTCTAAGGTTAGGAATTAAAAAATTAATAACAATTGATCCTATAGGCACTCAGCTATTAAAAAAGAACTACTGGAACACATGAAAAACCACTATAATCTTAAGCCCTTTTTATGTCAAAAACCTTTCAAGAAAGACATTGGGAAATATTTAGACCAAGTGGGGAATATACAACTGTACTAAAAATATTCTTTTCTTGTTTACAGGCAGACAGGAGCTGCATTGCATTATGCAGCTCAGCGAAAACTCTCCAGCTTGGAGAATACCAACTTTACTGACTCTTGAGCTCAGTCTGCCTCCTCAACCCTATTTGCCTGAGTACACCAACTGCAGAGTCCCTCTCCTGCCAGATTTGCCCCATCTTCAATAAAATCAGAAACTTCTACTGATCTAGTCTTTCACTTCTTGTTTTTTCTTGAGAAGAATTAAGGACAATGGATTTGTGTTGAGGCTGCGTTATTAAGACATCCCTCAAAGCAGTCAAATCCTCAGATCCTGAGAGAAACTTACTTTAAGATATCTTTTTAAAACAATGTAATATAATAACCTTAAAAATGAAGTGATCTGTCTACAACCTCTATAATTTTTCCAAGATTTATCTGGTTGTCAGCAAAACAACCCAGTTCCCCTCTTATTTTCCACCTCCTTTATATCATTATGGTGAGTAATTTTTTCCCCATTATACTATTTCACTCCATTCACAACGTTTTCCCTAGAAAAGAGACAGTTGTTAGACACCTTTGGAAGGAAAAATCATTATGTTAAAATGCCTCTGGGAAACGAAAAGCATAAGCAAGCAAGAGGTAAATTTTTTAGCTAAATTAAAATGTAATCTACCCTTTCTGTTTGGGGTATCGATTTCAAGAAGGTTTTTAATGGAGAAATTCTCCACGCATGTTGGAATATCCTTCCAAATCCAGGCTGTAAAACAGACAACACATTCAGCCTGCCCACAAGATCCGAGGTGAACAGGAGCTGCTGTCCCCCCGTTCAGAAGCTGGGGAGCTGCACCATGCCCTTCTACAGCAGTGCAAAGAGAAGGGCACGAACCCTTGGGCGGCATGAAAGCAAAACTCAAGCTGCAGCATGACTGCTCGGGCACCACACAAATAAAATTAGTCAATGGGGTATGAGACACGGCCACACAGAGGGACTTCAGACGCTGAAAAGGCAGAAATGCTGCCACGCAGCTTGGGCATAAACAGACTCTTTTGGAAACGGCACAAAGACTGAAGTGGTGTAAAACATCAGAAAGTTATGCATACCCTCTGCTCAGTCACAATCATACTAATTAATTCTCCTGCTACTTAAGCATTTTTCACTTGTTTTCCATTATATTCCTATAAACACACACTACCAACTCTCTCCTTTCTCTCCGCTGAGTACTTGATAAGGTCACGAGTACATCCACTGAGACCAAATATTTCTATATATAGAAATAATTGCCTGTGGAATTAAGTGCACTTGCCTGGGTATCTAGTTCATACTAAACTTAATTTAGCTGATTTTCCTCATCTATTACATCCATTATTAGGGACAGTGTACACTGCCAGCTGCAGCATTGCCTATCAAAGATGGAAACTAATTATCTAATTACGTGGCAGGGATGAGTTCCTCCACGAGAACATTCACAACCACCAGACACAGACAATCAAGTAAACTATCACAAGGAAGAACCAGTTCCTCCAGAAAGCCATGTTGCATGCTCGTCCTTTTTTAAAGAGGATCAAAGAAAGGTAGGATATTCTAGGAATATCGGTTCTATTTAACCATTTCAAATAGATCCTATGCAAGCGAAGCAAACACTTGAAAGGCCCCATCGCAGGCAAAGTGTGGTAGATAATGTGAGCTGATTATAAGTACGTGAAATAAAACAAAATAAAGACTTTGGGGAAACAAAGTTGAGTTTCTGGACATGCTGTCTCCCAGGCCTCTGCACCCCAGAACAGGATTCAGGGAGGGGAGGAACCATCAGTAGTGGAAGAGGATCATGTCATGGAGCTCTTACGAAATCTCAACCCCTACAAGCCTGAGGATGCAGAGGGAGCAAGCCAATGTCACCGCAAGGCCATTCTTTACCATCCCTATCATTTTTGAAAGGTTGTGGGGAACGAGCGAGGCCCCCTGTGACTGAAGGTGGCTGTTATATCTGTCTTCAAAAAGGGCAGTAACAAACCATGGATCTACAGGCTAGTTAGCATCACTCTGCTTCCTGGGAAAACCATGGAGCAAATGCTCTCAGAAGCTGCTTCTGAGCACATGAAGGTGAAGAAGGTGACCAGGACCAGTCAGCATGGACTTAACCAAAGGTAAAGCATGTCCAACCAACCTGGTTGCCCTGCATGACAATACGACTGGATCTGTGATTGAGGGAGAGCATTGGATGTTGTCTACCACAACTTTAGCAGGGCTTTCGATACTTTCTGCTACATCATCCTGGTATATCCAGGTTGGGATGTTCTAGTCTAGATAGGCAGACTATTAGCTGTGTGAAAAACTGGATGGATCATCAGGCTTACAGGCCAGTGGTTAACAGTATGTATCTACCTGTAGGCCAGTTATAAGTGGAGTACCTTGCTTAATACCTTCTATGAGAGGTCTGAAGGGGGAAAAAAACATGCACCCACTTCAGCTGTCAGATAGTACCCTACCCTTGAGGGAAGGGCTGCTGTTCAGAGGGCTGCAGGCTGGCTGGAGGGAGGGATGGGCCAACAGGAGCCTTACGTGGTTTGGAAAGGACAACTGCCAAGCCCTGGCTGTGGGAAGGAAAAGCCCCTGGCTATGAGACAGGCTGTGGACTGCCTGCCTGGGAAGCAGCTCTGCCAAAAGGGACGTGAGGGCAGCAAGCTGGACACGAGCCAGCAGCGCGCCCTGGAAGCAAAGATGGCCAACAGCATCCCCAGCCATACCAATGAGAACCAAGCCAGCAGATCAGGTGAAGTGGTTATCCCCTCCTAGACGTGGCCTGACACAAGCTAGGTGACGCATGCGGTTTTGGGTCCCGCGATACAAGAAAAATATTGACAAACTGACGCAAGTTCAGAGGAGGGCCACCAAGACAATCAGAGGGCTGGAGCACTTGCCCTGTGAGAAGAGGCCAAGGAAATGGGGTCTATTCAGCCTGGAGACGAGATGGCTTATGGGAACGTAAAGCTGCCTTTCAGTACCTATGGGGAAGGTCGTGAAGAATCACAGAATCATTAAGCTTGGAAAAGACCTCTAAGATCAAGTCCAACCATCCACCCAACACCACCATGCCTACCAAACCATATTCCAAAGCGCCACACCTACACATTTTTTGAACAGCTCTGGGGATGGTGACTCCACCACTTCCCTGGGCAGCCTGTTCTAATGCCTGACCGCTCTTTCAGTAAAGAAATTTTTCCTAATATCCAATCTAAACCTCCCCTGATGCAACTTGCAGCCATTGCCTCTCATCCTATCACTAGTTACCTGGGAGAAGAGACCAACACCTGCCTCACCACAGCCTCCTTTCAGGACAGAGCCAGGCTCTTTACTGAGGTGCATCCAGGACAATGAGCGATGGTGGCTGTGAACTGAATCAGGAGAGGTTCTCACTGGATATACTGAGGGGGAGATGCTGCTGTGAGGACTATTTAAACACTGGACTTGGCTGTGCAGAGGGGTTGTGGAACCTCTGCTCTTGAGTCCAGCCAGACCACGGCCCGAGTAACCTGGTCTGAGTTCACTATCGGGTCTGCTTTGAGTGGGAAGTTGGACTGAAGGTCTCCTGAAGTTCCTTCCAGCCTGCAAGGTCCTTCCCGTTTGCAGCCAGAGACCACATCTGGAAATCCTAGAAGGCAAACTGAGTAAGACATTTTTTCTTCTCATGAAGAATGTCAGTCTCATCTTGTTTAAAAGATCTGGAGATAATTTATTTTTTTTTAAACAGATTCCACTGCAATGACTATTTTATACTTATCATAGGCCTCCAGGCACATTTATCAACATTTAGTTTTTATCAACATGATAAGATCAACAGTATCACCTCCACAGCAGGCTTGGTCTGAAACAGATGATGTGACCCAGGTCAGGATTTCTATACAGATTTAGAAGCAACAGGCTTACCCATATCTACTATCTACTATGTTTTTCTCTTGTGTATTCAAAGTCATTCTTAGTTCACATCTGCATAAGCACCAGCCACACTACTAGCCCAGTGGATTTCTTGATGTCCTTGGGAAAGAAGGTTTTTAGACCCAAAAGCTATTTTCAGAAGACCACCAAACAATCACAAACAAACAAATAAATAAAGGGAGCATTTACTTACTTATGCCTTGAAAAAGTTCTTCAATGTTAACAGCATTCTTTGCACTGGTTTCAACAACAATTGCACCTATAGATTCTGCATATTCTTTGGCATCCTTCATGGGAACCTCCCTACAAAAACAAAAAACAAACAACCCCCCCCCTCAAATTACAAATAAAAGAAACCAAATTTTTAATAAATCATTTAATTTTCATGGAGTGGGGCAGAAGGACCTCAAACACAGCCTAATCAGAAAAGCATTAGTATGCTCTTCTTCCCTGCAAAAGCAGTACTATCTTTCTTTCTTGTATGGCATTTAGATCATCATATTCAAAACATCAAGACTTCACCAGTGATCTGCAGATTTCTTGGACTTGCTCCTGAATCCATGCCTTGAAAAAAAGAAGATAATTTAAATGAAAACCCCATTCATTTGTTTTTTAAACCTGACTCCGATAAGAAAAGCTTTAAAACACCAGAACAAAGACATACACAACTCTGCTGATCCAGGCAGCAACCAGCACTGTCCACAGCAAGTGTTCAAACAAGATAGGGTATGGCTGTTGTGGAAGAAAACGGTAAGAGCATCATGTGTCTAATTGTCTGCAAGCAGCTAGAAAACCAGAGATTCTGAAATAAATATGAAAGCTACTGGCAAGAGCAATCTGAGAGTGCCAGATTCACTGGGGGAAAACCACCATTCTGCGCCACGTCACCGAAGTGACACCGTCTTAAAATCACCAGTAGCACATCCTCATTTTGAGGCCAACACTTCCTATGCCAAAAGCTGGTAAATGCAGTTTACAACATGCAAAAGACCTCTGCTTCAGACACAAGGCAAGCCCCACGCTGACCCTGTATCTGCCTCAACCAGGTGGCAAAGCTGAACCTACCCGTGTCTGCCGCTGTCCGTAACCGCCACTATTCCTGATTTTTGGAGCAACAGCTCAGGGTCAGAGACTGAACATGCTAACAGGCACTCAAATCACACCCGGTCAGGGGAGCACACGTTGAAACACCAGGCTGCCAGCACTATTTTTCTTCCAATTGTTCTATACATGAACTGGTGTGTTTCGTGTGGCTTTATAGCTGTCTGTCGCACACGCAGAATCTGCACCAACTCCTTCACCCCGCAGCTCTGATGTACCAATACAGAGACTCCACGTACAATTTCCTCCTAGTATGAGTGCCTTAGGCTTTAGCAGAAGGTACCTAGGTGGGAGCACAGCAATGCAATTTCACAACTAGTTTACGGAGGTACATATTATAAATAAATCGGATCTGCTGCTCATGGGAAACATGCAGAGGGGCAGAACAATTGCCTGATTTATTACAAATGGTTTTCAGAAATTTAGCCTGCAATTCCAGAATCTGGATCCAGAGCTTGTTTCCATTACTTGCTTCTTTGTATTACAATCTTTATATCGGGGAAGACACAGGGAACGCAGCATTCCCCTTACTATTTCTGAAATGGCACCTTGACCTTTATTATGAAAGGTACCACCACCTGCAGATGGCCCTGGAGATAAGAAAAAAGGAACCTAACTATGTAACATAATATTCAAGCAACAGTAAAGGAAGAAATTTGACAGCATGGAGTGACGTCACAAAGACTTTCAACTTGCCATAATTTAGGTGACAAAGCAAACTTCAGGAATCAAGGAAAAGGTAAAACAGCAGCAAGTGACAACATTCCAAGGAAGTGTCACAAAACTTCTTAGCTTTCCCTGATGACATTTCTAAAGGAAGCCTATAAACGTCTACAGCACATGGGCAACACACATCATGCCATGCAGTTCTGCCGGCACCAAGAAGGCTGCATACATCAAGTGGAATTACCATAATCTGGATGCCAGCATTGCTAAGATGCTATCTTGTTACAAAGGAAAAGCACAAAAGCTTGAACTCTAAGCTGAGATGCATGCAACACACACAAGACGGGCTGAAGAGCTTCTTGCCTTCTTCCCATCAGTGGAGTGCTGAGAAAGTGTTATTCCAGGGCTACAGTGAAAGTTAGAGGAAAACCTATTCTGAAAGATGAAAAATTATTTCATTTTATCCTTTCCAAATCACTCTATTGATTCACTCTCCCTTGAGATTTTCTGAATAATTACTGAATAAAGAAATACTCGGTATGCATAGAGGGAAGGTCTAAGCATGAAATTCTGCTGAATTCGCTTAACCAAGGATCTGGCAATTTCCAGTGAACACGATTTGTTAAGGTGCACCGTATTTTTAGGGAAGTATACACTTCTTAGTTGCTGTTATGATTACTGACTTCTGTAATGCTCAAAAAATATTTTGGACACTTAGAACATTTTAACATTGAAGTCTCAGCTCCCGTCGTTGAAACTTCTTTTAAATGACCTGTCAGAAGGACAGGACACATATCAGAAGGAAAAGTCTATTACTACTACTTAAAAGTATGCCAAACACTCAACAGTACTAGAGTTGACAGTACTATAACATAGACGAAGATTTATACTAAACAAAATTGCCTATCTACCTGTAGAAATTCCTTCAAAGTGAAGAAGAAATTTACTTCGAGTGCTAAAAACTGCTCATAGTCTATTAACAACAAGTGAGAACAGCAGCACGACCCCCGAGTGTCCCTAATCCATTTTGGCAGCTCAAAACCAAATTTTAGATGCTAAACGAGAAGGGTAACATGGTCAATGCTCGTGAGAAACAGTGCCAGTCTTTTCGCAGAGGAAAATATTCAGTTTTTATTGCTTCCATTCATTCCTCCTTACATTATCTCCTACAGTCACAGAGATAGCAGAATCAAACCAGCTTGGACCTGGACAGCGTGTCCTGTTTTGCTTCTATTCACTTCGGTCTTAAAAGCAGCTGTCTCTGATATCCAGCAAAAAACATCTGCCAAAAGTTCTACAAAACCAAAGAGAGATGCCAAAAATGCATACAAACAGCAGCTTGCTCCTGCGTGCTCACATCGTCTTATTTTTAAATTCTCTATGCCCAAAGGCATGTGTATTTTCTACTCATTGGAAACAATCTAATAGATTGGTGACACATTTCACCTAAACTCATTTTTACCGAAGTAAATCCGAAGACATAAAGCAGCCAGAGAATGCACACAGCTGCATGCATTGCATAAACAATCAGATTTCTGGGAGAACTGTGAAAACATATCACGTACAAGATAGTCTGCTCTCTATTTTTCCACCAAAATCTCTTTAGCTGGACATCACTGGATGACTTTAGAAAGAGAAAAAGGCTGGGGGATGCAGAAAGAATAACTGCATGAAAAAAAAAAATAGTCTCAAAACTATTCATAATTTTGGGGACAAAAAAAGCTCCCTCCGTAAAAAAAAAAAAAAGAGTAAGCGACATTAGCTCACTGCGGGCAATGAGCACCATGCAAACACCAGAACATTTTGTGCATGGAAGAGCTGTACTGGCTGAACGGGAGCAAGAAACAGATGATCAGCAACCAGTAAACAACAGGCAGTGTTTGAGAATAAGGCGGTAGGAAGATCACAGTCGCTCTCTGAGGAACCCCAGTATTCTCACAATGTTTCTGCGGTGCAGGTTTTTCTTCATGTCTGCAGGTCAACCTGCCTCCTGTGGAACAGCATTTAAAAGCTTGCTGCCCCGGCAAATGCTACCAAAAGCAGAGGGAGGGCTGGCTATGGATTCATTTGCAATTGGTGCCATTTGTCACAGTCTCCAGACTTATTACCCTTGATTTAATCAGGCAATTGTATTGCTGGGAACACTCAAGCAATAAATTTAAAGTGACTCTCAGGGCCACTGAAAACTCCAATTCATGCTAACCGGTTTTTGGTTTTATTTTTGTAATCGTCCTTTCCTCTTTTTTTCTATTTCATATTTGGAAACCTTCAGTTTTGTCTTACAGGACTCAGTTTCACCAGGCTAACAAGCAGATCACAATATCATGTAGGAGATGCCAATACACTAGCCATGTCCCTGATTCTTAGCCCAACAGAAACCAGGAGTCTTCTACCATCAGCTCTTACAGGAAGCAGTGACTCACAGTTTTATGTTGGTTCATGACTGATGAGGGGTGGGGAACAAAAAAAACACCCAAAAAACCACACAGGTCCAATCCTTCTATATGCCTTGATGCAAGGCACCACATCGCTTACTTGAAGTTACACACATGCTTCAGGGCTCTGGTGAACCTGGGTCAAAGTAATCATTATAAAACAACAGAGGGACATATTCAAAGAACCATGAGAGCCTACGAGGTCCTAAGGGGAACGCATCGAATACGGCCATTGAGTCTGTGCTTACAGTTGAAGCAATAAATAACAGTTATGGACTGACACAAAGGATCGCTACCGTACAGCAGAATGTGCTTCCATTTCCAGAAAGGATAAATGCAAATCCAAAATAGAGCTAACAAGCAGAAGAGTGACTCTAGCTTCACCCTTATCCCAAATAGCATCATCTCAGCTCTTCTGCAGGAGGGCAGATTCAACCCCCTCCCCCCCCTTTTTACCCAGAAGGTTCTTTGCTTTACGCAAGTGACACAAGTTTTACTTGAGGTTACACTCCTAAAAAAACCCAAAAATACACTTTCTACATCCAGTATTATGGGATAGTTTCAGTTGTTGCAAGGCACAAAGCTTCTCTGTGAATAACATTAATCTACCTCAGGCCCATCCTTCTAGCATTACACTGCTGGTTTTGCTCATCACTTAACACGTTCTGCACCTTTTAACATGAATGGAAGGAAAAAAAGAGAATACTTTTCCATTCTCAATGAATCGGCAGCTAAACAGTGTAGATCGTACAAATACACAGGAAGGGCAGTAAAAAAGAGGTTAAAAAAAGTACATAATTCAAGTTGTACTGCTGCTGATGAGGTTGTACATTGGTAGAACCACTGGTGTTAGGAAAGGTTCAATACAGCTGACCAAAATTATACACTATTACAACAACGAAACACGTTGTTTGCCTGAAGGAAGGAAACAATATAGTTCTGCAATCAAAGCAACAACAAAAATGGATGTATTACCTGATATCAGAAAGATCACATTTGTTTCCAGCAATGGCCATTACGATGTTTTCAGGACCATGTTCTTTCAGTTCTTTCACCCACTTCTTCAATGTATGAAATGAATCCTAAGTCAGAGAAACAACAAGTGAGCTAACAGTCTAGTGTCTGTTGATGTAGTTGCTCATTTTTTGAAGTTAGAGGAACACAGCTTTAACAGTACTAATGCAATAATAATTTTACAGATCACAAGACCAGAAGATTGCTGTATCTATGTAATCTGCTTTTCAAACTTTAGGTCATAAGACTTCCTCAAATTAATTCTTGATCTTGGACACTTGCCCCTTTGCTCTCCCCACCTCCCGCCAAGCAGCACCGAATGTTTTTCTTACATTTTCAGTGATGAAGAAACTACCACAACTCTTTTAAAAGTCTGGCTAGTAGCTAATTTCCTTCACTTTTACTGTGAGCTTCATTTGCCTAATTTCAGCTTCTGCCCAGTGGATTGCCATCTCAACCACTGTCATATTTTTGGTAACATTCAGGAGAGCTTTCACAGCCTCCCCCTCCCCCCCCATTTCTGAATCTGTGACCTAGTAAAACTCAATTTACTCATCATGGAACCAAAGAAACAGGTTACAATTCACTGGGCTTTTTCCCTCCAAGTACAAAATTCAAACACTTTTTGATGTCACCTACCTTTTACTACTACATTTTCTATTTCTTTACACTAATGAACTAATAGCATTAAAATCACTTTTGTTCCTCGAGATTCTAATTATAACACATGGTTGAAATTATTACTGAAACTCAAAGTGAGCTCCCAAATAGATTATAAATCATCTTTTCCCCTTCAGAAATGCATGTAAGAGTTGTATCTAAATCAGCAATAGCTGTTATCAGTATCGCTGGAGGGAGGGCGCTATCAGTCATTTGGGGAAAAAAACATCCGTTCTGCTTTAATGATCAACACTGAATATTAAGCATCAGAGAGTGAAATACACATTGACCTTCCTTCTCCTATTTTCCCCTCTTTATTCTGAGAGCAGTTCCACATACAATGCATTACAAAGATCAACTGTAAGATACTTAAATTAAAAACCAGCATCAATCCAGCACGATTCACTCTTCCTCATCTTTTCTTGGCAAATTAACAACGGAGAACAGCACCGCTGTGCAACAGTGGCTACCATCATCAGCCACAGATCACTACACTAATGCACTGGAGAACCAAGCCAGCCCTCTCCGCCTAGTAGTAAATAATTCAGTCGGCAGGAAGGAATAAAATGCTAGTGAACTGTCATGACCATCCATCCATTAATGTCTCCTCTAACTCAGCTTTATCAGCAGAGGTTTCTTTACAAAGCAGTGGAAGAGGCATTCAGCTACAGCCTCCCACCCTCCTCTGCCCGAGAAATGGGCAAGAGCAGCTTAGGGTCTGAAAATACAATTTTCATTCCAAATGAATAATCTTGAGACAAAAGGTCAGAGACTTATTATTTTGTTACCGGTTTCAAAGTTAACACAGGAGTCCCGGATGATACGCTTAGTCAAAAAGAATTTGTTTAAAATCAGTAATATGCAAATAAATGAATTTCTGTTCAGTTGATAAAGTGTCCAGCTGCTTTTTGTAGTAACAATTCAATTCCTCACAGAGACCACAGGTGGTGGTGGTGAGAGGGGGTATTGCAGGATATTATCCTGTCTGCTTAGCCAGAGGAAATCCAGAGAAACTTTGACAAAATGCAGTCTCCAACCCCTTGTCTAGATGAAGTTTAAACAACACACTCTCTGCAGAGGGATCTGGACAGACTGGATCGATGGGTCGCGGCCACCTGTATGAGATTCAACAAGGCCAAATTTCGGGTCCTGCACTTGGGTCACAACAACCCCATGCAATGCTACAGGCTTGGGAAGGAGTGTCTGGAAAGCTGCCCAGCGGAAAAGGATCTTGGGGTGTTGGTCGGCAGCCCGCTGAACATGAGCCAGCAGGGTGCCCAGGTGGCCAAAAACGAGGCTGGTGAGGGGTCTAGAGAACAAGTCTTACGAGGAGGGGCTGAGGGAGCTGGGGCTGTTTAGTCTGGAGGAGAGGAGACTGAGGGGGGACCTTCTCACTCTCTACAACTACCTGAAAGGAGGCTGTAGTGAGGCAGGTGTTGGTCTCTTCTCCCAGGTAACTAGTGATAGGATGAGAGGCAATGGCCGCAAGTTGTGTCAGGGGAGGTTTAGATTGGATATTAGGAAAAATTTCTTTACTGAAAGAGCGGTCAGGTGTTGGAAGAGGCTGCCCAGGGAGGTGGTGCAGTCCCCATCGCTGGAGGTGTTCAAAAAATGTGTAGGTGTGGCACATCGGAATATGGTTTGGTAGGCATGGTGGTGTTGGGTGGATGGTTGGACTTGATGATCTTAGAGGTCTTTTCCAACCTATGATTCTATGATGAACACAGAAGCAGGACTTTGTATTCAATTTTTTAAGGCAGTTGGACACCTCCATCCAAATCTACACAAACTACCAAAGCATATAAACCCCACTGACATGAACAGGGATCAACACATAAACATTTCTGCACTTGTGGGTTTTAACTCCAACTCTGGCCCAAGCAGAGGAGTTAACACAGGCAAAAAGCGTACAGAAGGTCTTACCTGTTTGGTGATATCATAAACTATCACAGCTGCTGCTGAACCTCGGTAGTACATTGGAGAAAAGGAATGAAACTGTTAAAACATAACCCCCCCAACAAAAAAAAGTCATTAATAATTTAGAATTATCACACACTTTGTCAGGTCACAAAGACTTGCCGTGGCAGGACCACTGACTTACTTTCATCCCACAGAGAACAGACCTCTTCAGTGGTTGCCCACTTCCAATTTTCCTTAAATGCCAAGGAAACAGAACTCCCTTATCTCCTGCTGTTCTTCATCCCGCTGGATTTAGGCAATCAACACCTACCGGTTCAATACATCTTTTCCGTTATGGGGCATGGGCTCTGAGGACAAGTTTTGGCATGAAGATCACCTACACTTGGAAGCCTAACCCAGCAGCATATAGACCCCTTCCCCTGGCAAACAGCAACATCTTGCTTTGTAGTTGTAACAGACTGGATTCAGCTTGGGTTCAAGTTTTCTAAAACATGCAAATGACTTGGATAAAATTAACCTGTCAGAAGACTCTGAACACCTGTCACGTTTACTTCTCCTATACTTTGACAGGTATTTTGAAAAACACGGGTTCTTGCAGTTTAAGTTACTCTTCAGCTTTTTGTTTCAAGAGAAACATCCTTTAAGAAAAAAAACAAGCAATAAATGTGTTTATTATAACAACATCTTGCCAATGAACAGCATAATTTTCATAATTTACCATGACTAAGCAGCTGATTTAGAATTTCAGCTTATAATTACACAGAGAAAGGAAGTCAAAAAGCATTTCTGCTGATTCAACTAAACTTCGTCTTAAGCAAACCAAAAATAATCTTTCTTGGAAAATACATTTAGCCTCACTCTACTCGCGCAGCAATTTTACAAATTTTTATTTGCAAAGTGGCCTGCAAAAGCTCCACGTAAAGCTGCAGCTAATAACTAAGGTCAACTCCTACATCAAACGCATTATTAGGGCAGGGTATGATTCTCACTGCCCAGTGAACATGCACGGATCCACGGGTCATGCTGCAAATCTCTGCAGATTTACTGGATGCGTCTTTCTCTCAGAACTGTACTTTAGACCTAGCAGCCTCCACATTTCTTGCTGTTTCGTGTGCAATGTATAAAGCAAGTTATTTGTAGTATTGGTTCATTTGCCAGTTTGTAAGCTATTTATCACAGCTCACACACTCCAGCTCAAGGTCGATACTTTCTCTTCTAACAGTAAGGATGCACAGCAGCAGTGACAGATGGTCGAGTGCTGAAGTGTTTTGGGGAGCAAGGCAGGTGGGAGAGCTCATTAATAGGAGAAAACAGCAGGAAGGAGGATGAGAAAAGAAAAGAGGAATCGGTCAAGAAGCATGGTCTGAAGAAAAGAGATCAGCCAAGATCCTGAGGGAGCTGGGTAGATGCGTACCTTGCAGGCTTTTAGTGTGTGGCTTTATTACTTGCGTATTTAATGCAATAAACGCTTTCCAGAATTTTCAGGCTTCCAGATCATGACAGAAATTTTCAGGGTGTTAAGACTAGACTATTTCAGTTAGAAGGGACCTACAACGACCATCTAGTCCAACTGCCTGACCACTTCAGGTATGACCAAAAGTCGAAGCATGTTGTTAAGGGCATTGTCCAAACACCTCTCCAACACTGACAGGCTTGGGGCATCGAGCACCTCTCCAGAAAGCCTGTGCCAGGGTTTGACCAACCTCTCGGTAAAGAAATGCTTCCTCTCGTCCAGTCTGAACCTCCCCTGGCGCAGCTCTGAACCATTCCTACCCGTCCTGTCACTGGATCCCAGGAAGAAGAGCTCAGCACCTCCCTCTCCCCATCCCCTCCTCAGGTAGCTGCAGGGAGCAATGAGGTCACTCCTCGGCCTCCTTTTCCCATAACTAGACAAGCCCAAAGTCCTCAGCTGCTCATTGCAGGACATTCCCTCCAGCCCTTGCACCAGCTTTGTTGCCCTCCTCCATACACGTTCAAGCACCTTCACCTCCTTCTTAAATTGTGGGGCCCAGAACTGCACCCAGAGCTCGAGGTGATGCCGCACCAGCACTGAATCCATCGGGATGATCCCCTCTCCTGACTGGCTGGTTGGTCTGGGTTTGATGCACCCCAGGGTGTGGTTTGCCCTCGGGGCTGCCAGGGCATGCGGCCGGCTCATACGGAGCCCGCAGCCGACCGGCACCCCCAGGTCCCTCTCTGCAGGGCTGCTCTCCAGCCACGCCTCTCCCAGGGTATACTTGCTCCCAGCGTTACTCTGTCCTAGGTGCAGAATCCGGCATTTGGACTTGTCAAATTTCATCCCATTAATCATTGCTCAGTGCTCCAATCTATCCAGATCCCTCTGCAAAGCCTCCTGTCCCTCAAGAGAGTCAACAGCACCTCCCAGTTTGGTATCACCAGCAAACTTGCTAACGGTGCATTCAACTCCCGCATCCAGATTGTTGATAAATATATTGAACAGAACTGGCCCTAGGACTGAGCCCTGAGGAACATGGCTCACTGGTGACCGGTCGCCAGCCAGATGTAGCCCCGTTCACCACAGCCCTTTGAGCTCTGCCCTTCAGCTCGTTGTTCACCCAGCGCACTGTGAACCTGATCACCCCACAGTCAGACAACTTGTCCAGAAGGATGCTGTGAGGGACATATCAAAAGCCTTACTAAAATGCAGAAAAAATACATCCACCGCCTTCCCTTCACCCACTACTAGATGGATGACCTTCTCATAGAAAGATATCAAATGAGTTAAAGAGGACCTTCCCTTTGTGAACCCATGATGACTGTGCCAGATAATTGCATTATTCTTTAAAAGCCTTTCAGTAGTACCCAGTATAATCTCCTCTCAATAATCTTCCCAGGAACTGAGGTTAGACTAACAGGTCTGCAGTTCCCTGGTTCCTCCCTTTTGCCCTTTTTGCAGGCTGGAAGAATGCTGGCTAGCTTCCAGTCAGCAGGGACCTCCTTAGACTCACAAGACCTTTGGTAGATGATTGAAAGGGGTCTTGCCATAACGTCCACTAGCTCCTTCAGCTCTCTGGGGGAATCCCATCAGGCCCCATGGACTTGTGAACATCCAGCTGATACAGCTGGCCCCTTACAATTCCAGTGTCCACCAATGGAAAGTCACTGTTCCCACACTGGTGGTCCTCTGACTCAGGGGACCAGGCAGCCCAAGGTCTATCAGTATTATTAAAGACTGAGGCAAAAAAACGCATTGAATGCTTCTGCTTTTTCTTCATCCCCATTAGTCAGATTACCATCTTCAACAAGTACTGGTCCAATGTTTTCTTTAGATCTCCTGTTGCTATGAATATACTTAAAAAAGACCTTCTTGTTATCTGAAACAACACTGGCCAGTTTCAACTGTAATTGAGCTTTGGCTTTTTGCGTCTTCTCCCTACATAAAGGAACTACGGCTCCGTACTCTTCCTGCGAAGCCTGACCTCGCTTCCAGAGATCACACAGTTCCTTCTTCCTCTTGAGCTCCATGAGGAATTCCCTGTTCAGCCAAGCTGGTCTTCTGCCCCTCTTGCTTGACTTACAACACAGTGGAATTGCCTGCTCCTGTGCTTCTAAAAGGTCGTTCTTAAAAACTGACCAGCACTCATGGACTCCTAAGCCCTCAAAAGTGGATTTCCAGGGTACTCTCCGAAATAGCTCCTTGAATAGCTTAAAATTCGCTCTCCGGAAGTCCAGGGTAGCAACTCTGCTGTGCTTTTTTCTCATTACACTCAACTATTTCACGATCACTGTGGCCAAGGCAGCCACCTACCATCACGTCGCCCACGAGTCCTTCTCTATTCACAAATAGCAAGTCTAGGAGGGCATCTTTCCTAGCTGGCTCACTGAGTACCTGTGACAAGAAGTTATCTCCTACAAACATCAACGATTTCCAAGACCTGCTTGTCAGCACGTGTGTTGTGTTAAAGTAGTCTGAAAATCAGGGACCTTAATTGTAGAAGGTAGATCTGACCTTTCATGGTGTATGCACACTCCTCCCATTCTGTAAACTCCTGGAAAAAAAATGACATACCCTACACACATGCTGATTTGGTTTTAATCTAGATTACATGGTATTCACGAATTTACAAAGAGCTCTCAGATAACAGTAATCACACTTCACAGGAGCCATGCAGTTAAACTCACATGCTTCTAATTCCTTCAATACTGGCTTAGAAAGCACACTGAGAACCTGTACAACATCTTCAGAATTTCTCTCCCTTTTCTTTTGACCAAGTGACAAGGACATTTTCCATAATAGCTATTTCACTGAAGAATGTTGTCAGTGCTAGGGCCAGAAAGTAAAAATAGTAACAATAAAGAAACAAAACAGAAAAGCAGACCTCTTTCACTGGATCCTGGACAAGCAGAACCAGATGCAAACTGGAACCAGGATGCAAACTACCATTTTTTGGTTATGATTAATTTTTAGCTGGACTTCCAAATCAGCTTGTTGTGCATCAAATAAGCCCCTGGCTCAGCCAAAAAGAAGGGGTGGGAAAGCATGGAAAAAGGAGGAAGGATAGGACCACTAGAAACCAGATTCACATCAGCTTAGACCACACTCAAATAGCTCTGCACTTGCAGAACTACTTTGTGCAAATCTCTGCTGGTACACTCTACTGCCACTGGCAGTTTTACCCTTTTTTTCCTATAATGGAAGCAATAATCATTTTAAATTAGTGCAGGCAATACACAGAAACAAAGAAAACTTCTTTTGAAACATTTTTGGAGATTAATTAATCACTTCAACAGTGTGTTGCATTTCAGTAATGGAAATGCCAAATGACGTCGAACTGTGTTTGACCTGCTCCTTGTCTCAAGTAACATAAACAGCAGTGATCAGAGGCGCAGCATGTGGGAGGAATGCGGTTCCTCTGCTATTTAAGACGAAATAATCTGCTTAAATATTCCAATTCCTCACAAGCTTGGAAAGAGGGCAGACAAGACCACAGCAAGCTAGGCTCAGAAAGGCAAGTGCCTTTGAAAGGCACTCAGGTTCAGTAGTCGTCATTAACACGTAAATGTGAGCTCCCTACTCTACACTACCGAAAATCTCTTTACTTGCTCAGCTGACA